TGAATGTAAAATGGATTAAAGAACTACTGCACATAATTAAATACAGAATAAAGTTATGGAAAATTATACTGAATCATCTGAAAATAACAGCTGGTCATACATGTTGTTGTCATGGGATAGGCTTACAACATATTAGGAGTAAACATTTTAAGCATTGGCAATACCATCCACCTTCATGGATCCCCACAATTCTGTGGAATGCTTCCCATATGGGAGGAAAAGATTCTGGATGTATGGGTATATCTTCTCAATCCTTGGGGATCATGAGGAAGACTCCCCTCCCTCTGTTGTATTGGAGGTCTGGCTCTGGTTTCACCTACTTGCACAGTCCTACTGAGCTGTTCTACCACTGACCTAAGCTCTTAGTGGCCACACAACAGCAGCCACAATTGGTATGCAGGAGCTAATACAGAAATTCCTGATTGGCCACTGAGATGCTGGGGTTGCTGCTGCAGAAAGCACAAAAATTGTTTTGTAAATAACAGATTTTTATCTACTCTGAAATCAAATGTCACCTTATAAGTTCACAGTAAAATCTTGCTAATCATCAGTTTGCTAATCATCAAATCCAAATTCTCATTAACACCCTGCAGTCTCACTCGAATCTACTTCCTTAAGATTTAGCAGCCAAGTACTGTAGTGAAATCCCAAAAGAATAAGACTTCTTTATTATTTATAAAATACACTATGGTACATATTATTTATAATTCAAACAACTATATATGTAATAACAACAAAATACTTTTTCTGTTGCAGTAGCTTTGAGTTTGTGTTATTCTGCTGACTTACTTATTTTTAAAGTTTGCTGATTTACTATCACTCTCCCAATCACCGATGTTAATTAATGAGTTTTCTACTGCATAAAAAAGTGTTCTCTGTATTATATCTGTTATTGTATTTGGCAATAATGTGGACAGAATTAGTCTTAAGAATACTTATTTTTTTAAACCGAGGGAAAAAAAATTGTGCTTAACATCTAGTAACTGTTGTAACTATAACACGTTAGCAACCAAGAGCTATTAACCACATCTAATTGATACTACAGTCACTCGTTAAAACACTTTAATTTTCCTATAACAGCATCTTAAGTGTGTAGAGTACAACATCAAAAAGAACATTGATATAGTAAGAGTCAACTTTCCTACTCAAATTATAATATGGTAACATTCAATAATTAATCCTTTCCTTTTCTACAATAACTTGTACATTTCTGTGCCATGGCTTGGATGTCTTAATGTCTCCTCTGGCAACAAATTCTGATGTAAATTCCTGAAATTAAGGATCACTGATAACATACATTTGTATTGCTGGAGCTGCATGAATATGCTGACTACAAAACCATTCTCAATGCCCTTCAAATTCTAAAGCTTTAACAAATCTACATGTTGTTTAAACATCAGGCTTAAAAATAGTTAAATGTTTGTAGAGTGCTTTGAAGATAGTAAATACTATGAATGCCTGTATTAGTCTATTGCCAACAATCACAAAGATGTATTTTGATAGAATTGTACCTGAAAACTGGAGCTGTTCCTAAACAGAAAGTGAGATGGTCTGTGGTTAAAACAACATGATGATAGGTTTTAAACAGCAGAGAGTGGAAATCCCCCAAGATGAGCTTTACAAAGCTCACCACTGCAAACAAAAAACAACAAACACAGCAAAAGTTAGGATAAAAAAAGCAAACCATTTTAATAACATTCCTCCTTTAAACTACTGCTACAATGACTGAAATAATACAGCCTCATCCACTGTAAATTATCATCTCTGAAGAATCATAAGCTCAGAAATATATTTTTCGCATTTATAGTTTTCCTAAAAATGTTGTCAATTTCAATGAAGTTGTAAATTATTTGACAATTCTTTGGTCACAAGGAAACATGGAAAAATTAATGAGCAAAATGAAGAGCCCAAAACTAATTTTCCTACAACAAACAGTTCTTCCTCACCCAGGTAGATCCACTCACTTTATGGATATTCTTATTTTGGTTTAAATGAGACTTTTCAATTTAATTTAAGCCAACTCAACCAAAGTAAGAGCACCCCTACTGAGGTTTGCACCAGTTTAACTAAATTGGGTTAAAAGCAGATTTAAACTGAAGATTTAAAAAGTCACTTACTTTGTTGCTTTTGTCTGACAAGCAAAATGCATATGCTGGGGGCTTCTTTCATCTTTCCAATTCCCACCCAGCCCCACCAGCTTCCTTAATGCTACCCTCCCAATAACTCCTATTTCAGTGAGTTCCTAATCGTTACCACATTCCCTCATGACAAGGCATGACAGTTCTTGGGATACCAAGGACTGAAAGTTACCTGCCACCACTAACCTTTCAGCCATTTCAAGCGCTCTCTGGGCTATTCCAGTCCTGGTTTTGCCTTAATAAGTGCATCTTAGTCCCCAACATCTCTTGAAGCATTTCCCTGTAATATCCAGGGAAATATCCAGACACTGGCTGCTCCCAGAAACCCTAGATCCTCTGCCTCCAAAAGAGCAGTGTACCCTGGATTAGCAGTTTCATCTTAAACCACTGCTCCTGTAAACCACACAACGTATTGAAACAAAAGAAAACATATTTAGGCAAGCATAGAGATTGCACTAGAATCGAGAGTGTGATAGAAACAAATGGCTTCATTGCAAAACAAGAACACAAAACACAAACTTGAGCCTACACTTAATAGAATCATAGAACACTAGAATTGGAAGGGACCTTGAGCAGCCATCAAGTCCAGTCCCCCAAACTCACGGCAGGACCCAGTAGCATCTAGATCATCCCTGATAGATATCTATCTAACGTGCTCTTAAATATCTCCGGTGATGGTGATTCCACAATTTCCCTAAGCAACTTATTCCAGTGTTTAACCACCCTGGAAGTTAGGAAGTTTTTCCTAATGTCCAACCTAAACCTCCCTTGCTGCAATTTAAGCCCATTGCTTCTTGTCCTATCATCAGAGGCCAAAGAGAACAATGTTTCTCCCTCCTCCTTTTAACACTCTTTTAGGTACTTTAAATTGCTATTAAGTCCCCTCTCAGTCTTCTCTTCTAAACTAAAGAAACATAATTTTTTCAGTCTTTCCTCATAGATCATGTTTTCTAGATCTTTAATCATTCTTGTTGCTCTTCTCTGGACCCTCTACAGTTTCTCCAGAACTTTCTTGAACTGTGGTGCCCACAACTGGACATAAGACTCCAACTGAGGCCTAATCAGCACAGAGTAGAGCAGAAGAATGACTTCTCAAGTCTTGCTCACAACACTCCTGTTAATGGTTACCTTTCCTATCTAAAAGTAGGTGCCTCCCAACAGTTGATTGCACATCCTAGCCCTAACTCACGAGAGCCATAATCCAATATTTCATGACAAATATCGCCATGACATCAACAAGATGTCTCCTCAGTGATTAAATATAGCATGCCTCTCCCCACCCTGTACATGAACAGACCATCACTCCCATATGACTCTCTTGTGTCCCCTTTTAACTTTAGAAACATACGAGTATAGTTTCATTATTCCTATATTACCTGGGCATACATCATGGACATAATCATGAACATAAATGAGATTCAATCTTTCCAGAAATTGCACATTACCCCTTATGGACACATACACTGTAAGTAATGTATTTGATGTAATGAAGTTTCAGAGGGGTAACTGTGTTAGTCTGTAACAGGAAAAACTTAAAAACACAACAAATTGTCTAGTAGCACCTTAAAGACTAACAAAACATGTAAATGGTATCATGGTGTCTGTACTTCCAACACTCCTGTTATCTGAAGAAGTGGGCTGTGCCCACAAAAGCTCATGATCCCATCTACATGTTTTGTTAGTCTTTAAAGTGCTACTAGACTTTTCTTTTTTTGATGTAATGAGTTTGTCAGATTTGAGCTGAGAGCTCTTTCCAAAGAATAGGTGAGCAGTGTCATGTTTCATGATGGCCCCCCTCCCCCAACGTACACATTTCTCTACCACATGCAGGCCTGCTGATGGGGGAAGTGGGAAAGAGGGCAACTGCTCTGGGATTCAGCAATTCAAAAGGGCCTGGGGCTCGAGGCCATAGCCACTGTTACTGTGGCAGCAACAGTGGCCGGAGCCCCAGGTAGGCTTGGGCAAAATACCTTTCGCGGGCCAGATCCGGCACACCAAGCCACCAGATCCAGTCTGCGGATGCAGTGGGTAGTCTCAGGCAGATTCCCTGCCTGCCTCCCACATGCCGCTGAGAAAATCTACTGCAGGCCTTTGTTTGAACAACTGTGAGCCTTCACACCCTGCCCCTGCTCCTAGCACAATCCCATTGGCCAGTTTCCAGCCAATGGAAGCTACCTGTAGTCAACCTGCCATGGGGGCAGGGGACTGTACTCGGTGATCTCTCGAGGTCCCTTCCAGTCCTAGTATTCTATGATTCTATGAACAGGCAGCTTGTGAAGCACTCTCCTTCTTCCCCTCAGTCCCCTAACTGTTCAAAAACTACATGGCTCCTACAGCCAGTGTGGGCAGAGAAGGCAGGGAGTCGGCTAGAGAAGGCTGATGGCTGGGAGTCAAGCAGGTCAATCTCTGGGCCAAAGCCTGCCTCTGGCATCCTAACCCTCTGCTCATGACCCCACATAACCCAAACCTTCTGCCCCCATACCCTCTCCCAGATCCTGCACCACAATCCTCTGCCCTAGGTCACAGCCCAAATCCCATCACCCTTTCCTGCACCCTAGTCCCCTTCCCTGTGTCACAACCCCCTCTTGTCCAAGGTCACAACCCAAACCTCTGCACCCTAGTCCCCTTCTCCAGATCTCAATTGCCTCCTTCACACAAACTCCCTCCCAAAACCCACACTCTCTCCTTCATCCCAATCCCTTACTGCAAGCTCTTTTCTGCACCCAACCTCCATCCCAGACCTCCTCCATTAGTATGGAAGAGTGCAGCCCTTGACTACTTTCCAAACTCTTGGAGTGGCACCTCATCAAAAATTATTGCCCACCCCTGCTCTAAGGACTGGCAGGGGGCCCACCCTATCTGGGAGTGTGGAGCCAGGCCTCCCACACCTTGCGCAGGGCCCAGCAATTCTGTTGGCCCCTCTGGCTCTCTCATCAGAGGGTGCTCTAGGTGCCCTCATTTCCCCAGGTCCTTCTTCCTCTCCAACATTCTTTTCTGCCTGGGAGATAGGTCAGGATGTCAACATGTTAAAAACTGCATTGGGACAATGGGCAGAGTTGAGATGAGGTGGTTGTTATGTTGGAAGTTGTTAGTGGCTGTACATCAACCAGTTTTTCGATCTACAGAGATGGTTGAAACTATCTGATCTGCTAACTAGATGCAAGGGACTCCATTTTCTTGTCTTCCTCCTCATTCCAGTACTCTGATTTTCACGCAAACTAACAAGGTTCTTTGCACTGATTCCTTGCCTATTGCTTGAAATTTGGAATGGACCAGAGTCAATGGTCAAAAGTTATTGCGCTGTATATAGACAGATAGCACTTCTATCAAGTTTTAATTTAGGGTCTTGCTTCAGTGAGACAATTAAACTGGTGCAACTAATGTATAGAGAAGACCTAAGACTACTAACACAGTTAATGGTTTGTAGGAGTGAGACGTTTTTCTTCCCACATCCTTACAAATGACATCTGCCCTCAGGAATTATCATGACTGCACTGTAGAGTATAAGTAACTCTGCATTGGTAGAGGTCAGAACAACTGCCCTTATATAGATTTTACACAAAGTCTAGTATATGTAGAAGGAAGTGATACTCCTACTTGATTTCACTTACACGAGATAGCATTTGGAGGAAAACAATTTTATGTGAGCACAGCACCAGAAAATGTCATCTGCTTCTAGGAAAGCTTTGAGGGAAAGCACTGAACAGAGAAGTAGAGAAGACTAGAATACCAGTTTTAGTCAATTTTATTCTGTAAATTAGAAGAAAGCACTAGAATCATGCTATTGTTCAGGTACCCCTTTCCAATTTCTTGTGCAGCTAAAAATATTTTGCAGGTCTTCTAAGAGAAAGGAAACAGCAAAGGGTCAGAAAAGATTATTTATTTTAAGTATGTGGAGAGAGGGATGAAGATAAGTGAGCAAAAGGCAGGAAAGGAATAATGAGAGTGAAAAGAAATGTAGTAGAAAACAATGAAAATGGGGAGTGAATTGGGATAACGGAAACAGAAGGGGCAGGAAGATAGGGATGAAAAGGATTACAAGAGGTAAAAAGGGTCAGAATATTAGTTTTGATTTTTATTTTTTAATCTTCAACAGAAGCACACCAGGGCCAAAGTAAGGTCTCACTTTTGCATTTGTATATATGATTGGGGTCTTAGTGATGGACTATAATAATTTGTCTATTAACTTACAGATAGCTACCTTATACAGGGCTTCAACTGTGTTGTTCATCACCACATAATGCAAAGTATAAAAGATTTGTTTTAAAATATTAACCAATCTTGGCAATTCAATTTGGCCTGAACATACTATCTTATCAGCATGTGAATTGAAACCTCAGAATCAACTCAGCTTATTCATCTGAATTACTACGAAAGTTAAACTCTTACCTTAATTCACCCCACAAAAGACTGCTCCTTTACATTATTAAAGGTTCTCTCAGCTCAATCTCCTCCTTCATGAGCTCCATTTTTATTCAGTCTCACCACTATGTCTGAAGTAATTAAGAAAATGTAGAGCAAATGTTTAGGAGCATGAGACTATCAAACATCTAAAAACAGAAGTGATTTTAGTATCCATCTGAAATCACTATTAGTGGCAGTGGTGATATCAAAGATAGACTGCTCTTAAAACAGAAGGGAAATATTAAGTTGAAATTTTTTGAAAAAAAATCAGATAGACAACCTTCAAAATATTCTACATGGTAAACAGAGGATATTTAATATGTTTTCTTATTAGTCATACCATATGATTAGATTGTTATAATTTTGCTTTCATTTACAGAGCAAATACAAGCCAGCTATTTTAAACAAAGCCCTTTTGTTTAGCAGCCAGCTCAAGCAATTTGATTTAACACCAGGGATCTCTGCTGGGTGTAGGGGAACAAATCTTTTTCTACAAACTGCAACAGGAACAGCCGCACACCTAGAAGTCAGCTTTATTGTTTTGTAGTGCAGGGGACTTAATGTTCAGATCAGTGACGTCTCGACTCATAGCCCCAGCCCAGATGTGTGCTTAAAAACAAATTCAAAATTTATGGCTCTGGTCTGACAGGGGGTAGGGTTGGCTGAGGGGGAGACAGTGTCTCAGCGGGGTGCTGGTGAGTCAGAGGAGGAGGGAAGGCAGAGGATGCAGGAAAGTGGGTCTCTGAGAAGGTTTTGCAGGGGCTCTGGGCAGTGACCGGGAGGGGATGCTGGGAACTAGAGGTTTGCAGGAAGCTGCAACACCTCTAGGTTTTAGAAGGAGCTCTCCTCCTGGACCCACATCTCAGATCCTGACTTGCTGGCCCACACCAGGTGCTCCACTGCTAAGCAGATGCCGGGGTCCAAGCCGCCCAGCCTGGTGGGGACCAGGTCCCAGCTGCCTAGCAGGTTCTGGTCCAAAGGTCCGGGTCAGGCTGCCATCCATCCCCATAGCATCCATGCCACGGCATCACCAGGATCTGGCTGTCACATGGCCCACAGCCAGGACTCTGCTCTTGGCTCTGCTCTGGAGCAGGGTATTTAGGGAGTGGGTGCTTGGTATGGGGACTCAGGAGGCTTGGGGAGGTTATTGTGGTTGTCAGCCTGCAGCCCACAGTGATAAATAGGCTGAGAACCACTAGTTTAGATACAGTGGACTTATCAGACTTCTGCTCATGAAGGAAGATCCTACGTCTGACGGCAAGAGACTGCCAGCAGGTCGCATCTGGCTTACCAAGCCACCAGATCCAACTTGTGGCCACCTTGCCAGGACCCTTAGGCAGAGAGCATGTCACACTTAAAACAGCTGGCTGCTCTCCACTCTGCAGGCTGGGAAAGGAGGAGAGAAGCTTTGCTTGGAAGGGAGGCTTCGCATGTTGCTCCCCTCCAGCAAAATGTCTCAGCTCCCATTGGCCAGTTTCCAGTCAATAGAAGCTGAGAAATTTTGCTGGGGGCAGGGACAGTGTATAGAGAATCCCTCTTCTCCCCTGCATGGAGCAATCCCACATGGAGCAGCCAGCTGACAGACTTCTGCAGAGAGCCTGCCTCAGGGTTCTGCAGGACTGCTGGGCTGGCAGCCACCTAGGTAAGCGCCTCCTAGCCAGAGCCTGCCTCTGGCACTCCACTCCCTTTTTCTCCCCCAACTACTTGCCCCAGGTCACCACCCAAAACCTCTGTACTCCTTTCTCACCTTCTCCCAGGTCACAGCTCCCTCCCTGAATCCCTCCCCTAGGCCAGAAACCTCTCCTGAGCCCTTAGCCCCTCCTGTGTTTGTATTTTACAAGGACTATGTGGGATAAAACTTGTTTTCAGGTTGCTCTTCTCCGTGTTGTTTATGTAGTCACAAGGAGATTTTGTGTAACAATTTTATTTTGCACTTTTACACTACCTTCCACAAAATAACCTCAATGCAATTTACAATTAATGAACTTAAGCTCACAGCACCCAAGTGAGGTAAGGAACACACATACAAGAAAAAACTTGCTTTACTTAAATTATGAACTGTTTCCATGAAGTTAGTCAGGCCCACATTACACAGAATTTAGCATGTGCGTAAGTCTTTGCAGAACTGGGGTGTCTATGTACCTAAATGATTTGCCAAGGTTACATTTCTTTATTCTAACCTCAAGATAATTCTTTTCCTCTTCTGTTTTTAAATCCCCCCTGGACAGAGGGGTCAGCATTAGACAAGTTTCTCTCAGTTGTTCTAGACTTAGCATACCATGTGCCCCACTGATGACACTAATAAACAAAACACAGAGCAATGAAGTTCCCAGAAAAAATAAATATAAATGCAAACAACATATTTATCTAGGCCACAGCCTTCAGTACCAAAGAGTAATGGAACATCTTAAATATTCAGCTTATTTGATAATTTATGTACTGTGCTATTATATGAAGTCTTCAGAAAAATGGTTTAAAATAAGAATGGTTTAAAAATAGAAGTGCATATTATTGTTCCCAGCCTAAAAACGCCCACTGACATAAATACCTTTGACAGAATTATTTATTAGTAAACAAAGCACTGCAACCATTCATTCTTCCCATGTTTATCATAGAAAGTTATGAATGAAAACATTGTACTGATTGATTTCAAGAAGTATCAGTCAAATGAACAAAAACCAGAAGAGGTGAAAGCTTCAGAAAATGCAATAACAGCTCTCCCCTCTGCCAGTCTTCATATGGGTGACTGTACAGGTGACCCCCAACTTATGACCACTTGACTTACTACTCCCCACATTTATGACCGCCTTGCTCCAGCCACCACCTTTCCCCAGCAGAGCTCCCAGCTGACTCCAGGAGCAACTTGCACTGTACCGCCTTTCTCCTGCACAGCCCCCAGTCGGCTCCAGGAGCAACTCGCACTGAACTGCCTTTCCCTTGCACAGCCCCCAGTCAGCTCCGGGAGCAGCTCGCGCCGTGCCGCCTTCCCACAGCACAGCCCACAGTCCACTCTGGGAGCACCTTGCACCATGGACTCCCAGTAGGCAAAGCAGGCCAGGAACAGAACCCCCATTTTTATCAAAGAGTTCGACTTACGACGGCTCGACTTACGACAGTTCTCCAGAAACCAATTAGGTCGTAAGTGTGGGGGTCGCCTGTACTTGATCAAAACCTTGTGCTTCACACGTCCTTTGAATATCTTTAATCAAGTACAACCACACCCCCCATTACATAATACATTGCAGTAGAGATCAGCAGAGATGAATTGTTATAATTAAAAAAAAGTCAAAGCTGGTAAAAAGGCATTTGTCAAGGCAAGAGTTAATTGAAGCACTGTCATGGAAGGGTATAAACTGTTCAGGAAGGAGGGGTGTTGGAGAAAAGGAGGAGGAGTTGCATTGTGTAAGAAAGCAGTGTGATTGCTCAGAGCTCCAGTATAAAGCAGGAGAAAAGCTGTGGAGAGTCTCTGGGTTAAGTTTAGAGCCAGTACTGCAGGCCACCAGATCAGCTGGATGAAGTAGAAGAGAATTTCTTCAGACAACTAAGAGAAACTTCCAGATCACAGGCCCTGGTTCTCTTGGGCAACTTGAATGACCCTGACATCTGTTAGCAGACCAATACAGCAGTACACAGACAAATCAGCTGGATGAAGTAGAAGAGAATTTCTTCAGACAACTAAGAGAAACTTCCAGATCACAGGCCCTGGTTCTCTTGGGCAACTTGAATGACCCTGACATCTGTTAGCAGACCAATACAGCAGTACACAGACA